TTAGCGTAGCTCTGTGAAAAAAAAAGGACGTTTGGGCCTCTATTCCTTTTAATTGGAATGATAAATAATTTTGATCGGCTAAACGATCTTCCGCTAATTAATGATAGATTAAAATACGTAATCTTGCATCATTCATTGGAATAATAAATACAATTGATTCGGAAATCCAATTTTTTATTAATTAAAATTTGCCCCCGACCTATTCCGATCGATTGACTAAGGCACTTGAGAACACCCTTAATAATTAATGTCGTATAAATGCAGTTTATATGCAGTTGATAGTTTTTAAGTGATGATAAAATAGTGATCGTAAAGAAAATAAATATTCATAAAATAAATTTCATACTCAGAAATATGTTTAATTTTATTTGTGAGCGGACTTTTGCCAAATGATCAATAACATCATAAAATTCATCATATGAGCCCTAACTTATATATTTGCATACTATACATTACACCTATATGACAGCATATGTGTTTGCTAATTTTAACGTATCATACTCCACTACTTTACTAAACCATAGCACTGTATGAATTTTAGTTCCAATAACCAGTGGTGATCACCATCCTTATTTTTAAGGACAAGGTGCGGTATAATAGTTCATATTTTAGGTTACACACGGTTTTAGGAATTATGAACATTTTTACTTAGTATCCTAACCCCTGTTTCTCAGTGTATTTTTTGAGACACATATAGCACCCGGTGAGACCACCATTTATTATAGTTACTAAAATTCTATTCGTATTATTCTAACTTTAAAGGGAGGTATGTGATATTTTTTTTGTTATAAAAAAAAAATTCAATAATCATCTCAAATATATATATATATATATATATTACAATGTTTTTAAAAAAAAATATAAACATAAAGGTTATTTTTTTACAAATAATTTTACTATACATTTCCAATAAGAGCAGCTGCGTCAGACCATAATATAGATGGATCATAAATACTTTGATCATTATAATATAATCTAAACCTAGCTGGAGTAAATAAAAATTCCAATAATTTATCGGGTTGTTTTTTACTGTAAACTTCAGTATAAGGAAATGTTAGGGACGCAGTCAAAGGGAAAGGTTTAGGTATCAAAGTATTGTTCAATGATCTTAATTCCAATATTGCCGACGAATCACTAAAAAAACCACCAGGGAAAGAAGAATATGATAATGATGTGTTTACAAACCCACCAACCGCTACAGTGGACACATTATGATTTTCTACAGCATGGTTCGCGATAAGCGCGCATGCAGACCCACATACACCATTTGTTAAAATAATAAGGTTATTAGATGTCCAGGGAATAGGGGTTCTTAAATATTGTGCTATAAAACTAGAAAGTAAACTTAAAAGATTTGGAACAAATTTGTTCGAATAATGATCCGTAACATTACCACGTGTGTAAGAATTATTACCAATAAAATCTTCAATCTTTTCATATTTGATATTTGTACTTGAAGAGGTAGTTTCATTAAATTTAAATAAAACTCCATTTAGTCCAAGTTTAATTGAGTCAGTGACTCTTAAATCATAATCAAAGAAAGGATTTGTATTATTTGGGAATAAAATCAAGTTGATAAAGGCACTAACTGCGATTGAACCACCAAAGTTATTCGATAAATCAATAACAACCTTTAATAAATAAATATTAGTAAATATGAGAAAAAAATCAAGGATAAACGATTCAAAGAGTATGACTATAGATTATTCAAAGATGACTTACTTTCTTAACGCCAGTATTCACAAGATCTTCAAATCCTTTAATTGTATTTATGGCAACAGTGTCATTAAAATTGACTTGTTCGGTAAATATTTTAATTACACCAAAATCATCTTTTTTGTAAAAGCTAATAAAATCTTGGACAACACTAATTAAATTTACATCTATAAGTTGCCAAGTATCATGATCACCCTTATATTCTTCAATAACATCTAGAATCCCATTATCACGTTTTAGTAATTCCTTTGTCTCATGAAATCCTCTTTGGAATAATGACGATGATGTTTTATTTGTTGTTGTGATATTACAACGATTAGTGAAAAAGGTTTTTGAATCCTTAAATTCACTTAAAATTTCTGGAAGACTCATAGCTATCCAAATTCTATTAACATCCTTTATGCTATTACTACAATTGAGTCTATATGTAATATTTGATGTTGGTGGTAAATCAATTCGGTAGGAAAAAGAATTTTCAACATCAACAAGATCAAGAGCCGAATTAAATCGTACACCAAGATCTCTTGAAATGAAAACAGAATCTCGAGCAAATTCGGAAATCACTTGAAATGCCTGAACGCCATCAATATGAGTTACTTCACACTTATTATTAGAGGGATCTATAGTGTCATTACGAACTTTAATTATCTGAAATTATATAAAATTATTATAAAGAGTATAAATATAATTATTGTAAAAATATTTTTATACAGTAGTAACCAACTCGATCATTACATTACCTGAGTACCATTTGTTCCAATAGCTGAATACAATGTAAAATTTGAAAAAAAGGCGAACGTTGTGAAACAATTTGTCTTAAAATTTGTGTGTGCATCTTTTAATTGAGAAGTAACATTTCTAACATCGGCCTATATATAATAAATAATCTTATTAATTATAAGATAACATTAAAAAACTGAGATACGTATTTAAAGGTATATGAACTACCATAAATTGAAATAAAGATCCATAAGTATTATTTAATAACCGAGTCAATTCTAATGTTATATTCAATGAACTAAAATTAAGCCCAGTTGGCGGTGAATCTTTTGCTATATCAAGAAAAGAATAGAATCCGTTAAAAATTCCATTTATTGTTTCGATAGTCTGTAATTTTAAGAACTTGTTAATTATTACTTATTATTATAATTATAACTTATTATTATATGCTTTTTATAAATTACGAAATATATACCTGATTAGCAATATCTTTATCAAATGGAATACTCTTGTAGCAGTTACTAACGTCTGTATAATTGAAAATCCTTATGCCTTTCGTAATATAATCATTATTAACATTTGCGCAACTGTCATTAGTAGACTGTGAAGTCCCGATTGATATGAAAATAAGCATAAATAATGCTATGTATAATTTCATCCTATATATGTAGTCAAGATGAAATTTTATATTTTAAATACATGCGCACCAAAGTTAATTTTTCTTGACTGATGACATTGCCATGATTGCCTAAATAATTCATACCTGTCCTTTATAAACATTTTGAGTTACTCCAAAAGCATATTGCACAAGTTTATATTATTTCCCTAATAAAATCTTTTTTCTTTGGAATAATAAACATGTCATTAATGGTTATCATCAGTTTTAGGCTCTTTGCTTCTAAGTTTAATAAACGACTAGTTGCTTGTAAACGAAAACAGTAAACAAATTGCAGATAATATGCTTAAAAAGAATACTTTGTAAATGAATGTTCAGAATTGTTCTATGATCTACACGCCAAATTTCCACGTCAAATCGTTTCACAACTTTGTACGCATACACTTTAATGAACGCCACAAGTTTATCGTCGTTATTACTTTTTTATATATCAATATCTTCAAAAGTGATTCTGTTACGCAAAATATCGGTTTAATTAAATATCTAAATCAAAACGATCTCATCGAAATGTAGTAATAATATGTACGAACCCATTTCACTGAATAAACTTATCAGTCATGAGAAATTCTGTTTTACGATTTTAGTAAAATTATTAATGTCAACTGAATTAAATCGATACTTATCGATATTATTCGGGTCAAGTGGAATACTTTAGGACTATAGCATAGCGTTCTTTAATTTTGATTAGATGATCAGATGAAATATGTTCACATACGAGTGGTTTACTCAGTTTGAAGGGGAAAAATGCGATTGAAAATCGGGTTACACGAAATTTCAATTCCAGATTTTGCTTTATTTATAGGTATTACTATAAATTTTTTGTACGAACAAGGTCACATGCTTGATTTCGATTCGGTAAATTAAATTACCAATCTTCTGATTGGTTGTTATTATATTTTTAGAACATTCTATCTTCGACGAATTGATTTTTCAAATATAAAAATCTTCATATTTTATTAAGATGTATAATAAAAATTGTACAGCATTTAAATAAGAATTGGTACTTTAACTTGAATTAAAAATCTTAAAATTAGTCAGAAAATGGTTTTCTTAGCAAATTACCTATATTAGAGTAACGTTTCATAGACACAAAAGTGGATTGTAGACCACGAGTACTTCGTTTTATATTCTATTAAAATAATTAGGTAATCCCACAAAGTAATTCGGAAGTTACAATAGGTCAACTAAACTTGGCAATTTAAGCTACCCTTTATTCATGAAAGCTTATTCCTCATGATTACAACTATCAATGCTAGTATTATGAAGTTGCGACTTATAAGACTTAGATATTTTGTGAGAAGTGTTAATACAAAATGGTGGCACTTTTTAATTATTAAATAAATTAAGAATCTGTTTGATGTTAGAACAGAGGCTATATTTAAGATTGTTTCCGCTCATCTGTTATCAATAGAAACAAGAAATTAACAACACTGAATATTTTATATCTCTGATAGCGTTAAAAGAAAAATCTTTCGACTTATTAGTTATCTGACCTAAACTTATTTAATTCAAGTTTTCTGTTTTCTAAGTACTAATTTCATTAACAAAGTCTACCAAAAATTTTAATTTAATAAGCTACCCTCCATATTCCCTACCAACATATGTTACTCCTGGATTTTGGTTGTTGGTTCCATTTTGCTCTGGAATTTGTTCTGATTGAGTTGCCATTGCATGACGCCGATAATAAAAGATAAAAGCGATACATATCGGAAGAATTATCACACTAACAATTCCGAGTGAAATAGATGTACCTATCAATGCACTATCACTCCCGGCATATTCGGTATAGGTATAGGTATAGTAGTTATAACGTGTAGTAGTCGTAGTGGTAGTTGTAGTGCGGAAATTTGTATAAGTGTAGTAGGAATAATATGTAGTAGTCATAGTACGGAAATTGCAAGATGGAGGATATGGAATAGAACATGTATCTAAGCAAGGATCGCAAGTAGGAGAAACACATGGACTGCAAAAAGGAAATTGAGCTAAGCACAACCTTATATTTGACAAATGGGTAATATTAAATAAGAATTAATATTAAAATTTATATTTATTAATAAATACTTGAATTTTTGAAATATTTATAAGTATTTTAAATAGATATTTGCAATTGCATTTCTAACATACCTTATATTTAATAAGCATAAATGAAATATTATTAAAGTTTTTATTAAATATTTAACAAATATTACATCTTTCATGATGAGCATATGTTATTATTTAATAGTTATATAATGTTATATTTCTTGTTTTTCCTTAAGAGATTCAGTGTTAAAAAACTTAGGATGATGAATGTCTTTTTTCGACATGATAGAAATGCTTGACTTTTAATAGTTTTTTTTTTTTTTTGATGAGTCTCATAGTCGGGTTTGTTTTGATAATTCTTAATACTGGTCGCACATACATATTACGTACATATGTACCATGTCCAATAGTAATAGGAGGCGTTGTACCATTGCGCGTATGGTATTTAAGAACATTCACACTATGGCAGTGTTGGTAAATGACTAGATCACTTTGGTTTTTTCTTAAATGACCTTGGTCATTATGGACATGACCTATAGTTATCAGCCATTATGGTCATATCAGGGTTACGGCACAATTTCCCGAAAGCCATTTCCCCGACATGACACTTACTCGACATCACGCATATCACGCATGTGACAATTTGAAAAAATATATACCTACAATTAATAAAATGCTAATCCTAACCCTATGTGAAGTCGAAAATAGTATTTCGGGAAGATTGGTTTCGGGAAAGTGAGAATCAACGGATCATTCCGCTAGTACATGTTATGATTTACAGCAGAGACAGTGCCCGATCCAAAGTGAATCCCTCTCACCTGTGATCAATCACAAATTAAATTATTTATGTTGAATTCAATTGTGATGGATATAATCCCTCACTAGCTTCAATATAAGTGTAACATTAACGGTCTCTGCTGTAGTTATGATTATAATCCCACGGAATGATCTGGTATTGTAAAATGATTTTTTTATATGTTTCACACCGGGGGAAGGATCAGTCGTGTAACATCGATGGTTCCTCCTGTTAGTTTTGGTTAGGAAGTTTTGATTTTGTTGATTTACTTTGGTTTATTTGTTTTAATTGGATTTTTCTTTTCTTGTGATCTTTGTCTTTGTCTCAATATGAGAGGTATCAGTGTGTTGTGTTGATAAAACAAGAGTGAATCATAATGAAGTCGTGTTAAAAGCTAAAGTGGGGTTTCTATTTAAGCTCTTAAAATACACTTATTCTTGTTTATTATAAATTTTATCTCAAAAGTTGATTCTTAACCATATAAAAATGCTAATGAAATGTATTTTAAAATTTTGTGGTTTGTTTATTTTATACTATACAAAATTTCATTTTTAATCCGGTTTCAATTTAGTTCGCCACAATAATTGATATTTTAAGTTGTAGGTGGGGATAAAATTGGTTGGATTAAAGATGGTAAATGGTAAAGTGAGTAAGTTAAGATTATATAGCAATAGTAGTTGGTTTAAAGAATTGGATTTAGTTATTATGATAATTGAATAAAGTTGATTAGCGGGTTGATACTTATCAATGATCTGAAGGATATTATATTATGAGGGATTATATTGTTCTGTAGTCAGGGTTGTTGGTCTCAATAAGAGGAACCGTCGATGTTACACGACTGATCCTTCACCCGGTGTGTAACATATAAAAAAATCATTTTACAATACCGGGTCATTCGCTAGTACATGTTATGAGTATAATAATCCCACACCATTTTATTATAATAAAAACATGTAATAGCGGAATGACTGATATTGTAAAATGATTTTTATATGTTGCACACCGGGTGAAGGATCATTCGTGTAACATCGACGGTTCCTCCTGCACGAATGATTACTAACCATATCGGAAATGTTCGTGACGGTTGACTTAAAACACGGGAACTTTCTGAATGAAATAAAGTTCCTGCACGTACTCCTAATCGCAGAAATTTAAATTTACCAAATCTTACACAAAGTTACGTAAATTACGTATAATTACTTAAATTTAACGTCCCTAGTCATATGCTTATGTTCTTTTCTATTGAAGTATGGTTTAATCAAATGAGTACTTTGCTTCGTAAGAGGACTGGCTCTATAATCTCTTCCATCCCTGTAACTAGGCACTTAATTTAGTAGTATCCTGATGGCCTGCTTTCTTCTTTGGGGATGTAATAAGATGTAAAGTGTCTGTAATGATTATATATCGTGCCTCAGATTAGAATAGATGTAGGTTCGAAATTGTAGTATATATTAAAATTTATAATAAACTATTTAGATTAAATCTCTTTGATTTTTTTTATATATTTCGATCAAATTGAGTACTATGGAATATTCATTTATTTCCCAACAAACTTTTGACAACTTAGTCAAAAAATACATTGATATTTTGGCACTGAATAAAAAGAAAAGGTCTTGATAAATCAAAAATTACAACAATTTAAGGAAGTTCTTTTTAACCCCGCAAATACTAAATTACATACCTCTACATTCCATTACTGGGCCAAAAATAAATTCAAATTACAAAAATTTTATCTGATTCTTATATTGTACTTCGTACTTGCACACAGACAAAAAAAAAACAATGAAAAAGTTAAAATTGAACTTCTTGTATTGGTTCTTTTATAAAGAGTCATTTTCTTATACCAGGAATGGATTGCAATGAAGAATATGGTTTCCCGTGACTAAAATGGTGTCTGCATAGATTTCTCCCGCTCCTGGTTTTGCGCGACAACGTTGCGCAGCTACTTATGAGTAGTTTGCTCAGTTTGAAGGGTAATTTTAATTTTGAGAAAAATGCGATTGAAAATCGTGTTACACGAAATTTCAATTCCAGATTCTTGATTTATTTACAGGTATTACGTACTATAAATTTTTGTACGAACAAGGTCACATTCTTGATTTCGATTCGGTAAATTAAATTACCAATCTTCTGATTGGTTGTTATTATATTTTTAGAACATTTTTCAAAACTAAAAATCTTTATATTTTATTAAACTACCCACATTAGAGTAACGTTTCACAGACACAAAAATGGATTGTAGGCCACGAGTACGAATTGTAGAAGGTTAAAACCAAGAAAGATTAAGAGTAGAGGCTTCGTTCCATGTTCTGTTAAAATAATTCGGTAATCTACAAAGTAATTCGGAAGTTACAATAGGTCAACTAAACTCGGCAATTTAAGCTGCCCTTTATTCGTGAAAGCCTATTCTTCGTGATTACAACTATCAATGCTAGTATTATGAAGTTGTGACTGGCACTTTTTAATCATTGAATAAATTAAGGATCTGTTTGATGTTAGAACAGAGGCTAAATTTAAGATTGTTTCCGCTCATCTGTTATTAGAATAGAATACAGTTTTTATCAATAGAAACAAGAAATTTACAACACTGGATAT